TATTTCAAAATGTATTACAAATTTGGTCCAAAATTTACACTTTTGGCCCAGATTTTAGATTTTGTTACAAATTTGGTCCAAGCTTTACCCTTTTTGCCCAAATTTTAGAATTTTTATATGAATTCATCCTAACTTTAGTTTTTTTTACAACTTTTTTTTTCAAAAAATTGTTTCTAATATGTTTTTTCCTTATAAAATCATATTTATACAAAAAAAAACGAATTTTCACATAAAAATCTTATATTTTCTATATAAAAACTTTTTTTAAAAAGTTTTTGTATATGAAATATCTAGTTATAAATATATGTATTTACTAAGTATATAAATATATACAAATCTGCTTTTATAAAAAAAAGTATACAAAAACGTATTTTATAAAAAAAATGTATACAAATACCTATCACCTTTATATAATATATATATATATATATATATATATATATATATATATATATATATATATATATGTAGAGTCAAGATCAAATAAGAAGGAAATTTTTGGTAGGAAGGTAAGAAGTTTTTTTTCTATATATTTTTTTCGCGAACAAACAAAATGAATCATTAGATGATTCATTTGTAAGATGATTCACAAAAAAAATTCTCAAAAAAACATCTCGGTGATTCATTTATACAATGATTTTGTTGTTATTCACTAAAATTGCTATAAAAATGAATTTTTTCTTAATTTACTTAAAAATGAATCATACAGATGTTTTTTTGGGAATTTTTTCTTGTGAATCATCTTACAAATGAATCATCTAGTGATTCATTTATTTTGTTCGTCAAAAAAATATGTAGAAAAAAAAACTTCTTACCTTCCTACCAAAAAAAATTTCTTACCGGATCTATATCCATATTATATATATATATATATATATATATATATATATATATATATATATATATATATAATATACACATATATATATATATATATATATATATATATATGCACACAAATAGGTGTGTATCTATATTTTTTTATAAAAACGTGTTTGAATAATTTTTTATATAATTCGTGTTTGTATACATTTTATAAAATCGTGTTGTATACATTTTATAAAAACGTGTTTGAATAATTTTTTATATAATACGTGTTTGTATATATTTTATAAAATCGTGTTTGTATACATTTTATAAAATGTATACAAACACGTATTATATAAAAAAATTATTCAGACACGTTTTTATAAAAAAAATGTAAATAAACACGATTTTATAAAAAAGATATAGATAAAATATGTGTTTGTATACATTTTTTTTGTAAAATACGTTTTTGTATACATTTTTTTATAAAACGGATTTTTATATATTTATATACTTGATAAATACCTATTTTTATAACTATATATTTCATATACAAAAAACTTTTTAAAAAAAGTTTTTATATAGAAAATATAAGATTTTTATGTGAAAATACGTTTTTTTTTTGTATAAATATGATTTTATAAAGAAAAAACATATTAGAAACAATTATTTGAGAAAAAACGTGGTAAAAAAAAACTAAAGTTACGATGAATTCATAATAAAATTCTAAAATTTGGGCAAAAATGGTAAAGTTTGGACCAAATTTGTAACAAAATTTAAAATCTGGGCCAAAAGTGTAAATTTTTGACCAAATTTGTAATAAATTTTGAAATCTGGGCCAAAAATGTAATTTTTGAAAGTTGGATGACCTGTTGACCGGGTCAAAGGGTTAAATTGAATACGATTACCGGTATTTGGGACTTAACTGAATAAAAAAATATAGGGACTAAATCGATTATGAGGTCAATATGTAGGGACTTTATTGCAGTTTTCCCTAATGGATAACCAATGGATTAAACCAATCAAAAATATCCAACGGATAAACCCGATCCAATCCAATATCCAATTGGATCCGTTTGGTTCAGGTTTTATACTGAATTGGTGTAACGTATCGAAAATTCATAGTGAAATTTTCATTTTCAAAACGATAAATTATACAACGAATTGTTCCAAACCCGATCAAAGTAATTATATTATTTCAACATCAGAGTAATATCATTAATTGCCAATGCGGAAAACTATGAGGGATGTTGTGCAGTCAAGTCAGGCATTTCTGTTTCAAACCGAAAGTACCTGAAACCATAAACATAAATTATAAGCACAAAGTTTAATGATTTCTCCAAAAATACCACATACCATACATACAATGGGCCTTGCCCTACAGTCATCGGGCCCCGCCCTGAACATGAAATGAGCCCCGCTCAATCATACTCGTCAGGCCTCGCCCGCTATACATACAAACACATAAAATACATATAAGAATCACTAAGATAAATAGCATACAATACACTCACCAGGCCTCGCCTGGCATCGGACCCTGCCCGGTATAGATATCACATACCACAGATGCAAGAGTCACATAGACAACTAGCATCCTAATCATAATAAATCATGGGTCGGCATTGGTGTCTTCGACCCGCCAAACACAGTGAGGAGACTCACCTGAATCACAAAGCCGACTAACACTCAGCTCGAAACCGTGCCGACCACAGCTAACTGCTCCCATGTCAAATTATGGGTGCTTAACACCTCGTGTCAATCCGCACAAGGCAAACCCTAAATCTACCTTATAAAAATAGAGATTGACCAAAAACTCAATCCATGCCAAATATCAACGGTCAAAGTCAACGGCCTGAGTTAGCTTTAGCTGACCACCACGTCGTGGCCTTCACCCTGCCAACCTACGGGAATTTCTCAGTCGCCACGTCGTGGCAACTTATGGCCACGCCGTGGGCACTGGGTTTCCAGCTGCTTAATGGATTAAGCTGCCTTCCTCAATTCCAAGAGCTCCAAAGCTTAGATTTGGTCCAAACTATGATCTAAATGAGTAAAGTTTCCAACTTTATTCATTAAGACACCCAAAGAGATCAAGATCTCAACCCCTAGTCCAAATAAAGCCAAAATCCATAATGACGTAACCATTAAGCCCTTAATCCAAAAAATTCCTTAATCCCAACACTTCCAGAAGCTAAAGGGGTACCAAAGGTCCCTAAAAATGATTACTTGATGGACATTCATGACCCATGCATGTCCTTAACTCAACTTAGGTCAAATGGAAAGAAATGACCTAAAACTTATGTAAGATTCACAAATCATAACCAAACTCCAGATCAATAAGATATGATGCTCAAGGGACACTAGGGAGAAATAAAGTTGTCAACTTTATTCCATCCATTCACTCAAATCAACTGTATAAACCAAAAAGGGACCAAAACAACCTACCTAGATCTAAGAGAATAACTCCAAAGATAGAGACTTGAATCCTTACAAATGGTCCAGAAGGTGATAACCAAGATGATAAAGTGTTGCTTGCTTGATCCTTACACCAATTCTTCCTCATTTCCTTCCAAAAGCACCAAAACCACCCAAAATGTGCCAAAACCACCAAGAGGGAAAGGATTAGGGTTTTTCTGAGGTTAAGGGGAATATAGGCCAAAAAATGAACCCTAAAACCGAGTTAGAGATGCTTAAATGCGAAGGGGACCCTAAAAGAGACATGGGCTTGGGCCTGATCAGCTGTCACGTCGTGGCTTGCCTTGGCCACGCCGTGGTGGTCCAAAAACATCACGCGACCCATTTAACCATTGCCACGGCCTTCCTTGGCCACACCGTGGCACAGAGTTTCTTTCAAAATCCATCTTTGGTTCTTCCTACAATTAAGTTCAACCAATCTGGACACAGGTATTACAATTAGAGTTTAGAATTTATTGGATAATAGATAACCAATGGATTAAACCAATCAAAATATCCAATAGATAAACTCGATCCAATCCAATATCCAATTGGATCCGTTCAGTTCAGGTTTTATTGTGAATTGGAGTGGATCGGTTCACTAAATCCAACATCCAATGAATGTTTGGATTGGGTCGGTTCCATCAATATACATTAGATTTGAACCGATGAACACCCCTAACGGAGACCTTCGTGAAGAGCGAATTACAAATTCTCATTTGTGATAAAAAGCTTATGATTTTTGGTTATTCTAATAATTTTTGTCATGATTTGTATTACAAACTTGGAAGCATAAATTAGTAATGTTTGATTTCATGCATGATTTTAAAGGGCTGTTTGTTTTTTTTTTTTTTGTGAAGATCTGCTCAACCACTTTTGTCTGCGCCGCGCAGACATATGCCCTCGCAGAGTGTTTGTTTTTTGGAAGTGTGCAGATCAAAAAATGTCTGCGCGAGGTCTTCCTGGCGCAGACATGGACCACTGTCTTCAAAGGTCTTCAGACCTCATTTTAACCTAAACCAAAAAAAAAAAAAAAAAAGAATAGGCCATTGTGCAGTTTTTTCTTTCTTTCTTTTTTTGTTGAAAATGCATTTTTAATGTTTATGACATGAAATTAAGTTTGAAAAATCAATTTATTTCAACAGCTGTTAAAAACAAACAATCTTCTTATTACAGACTGAAGACATTTGGTCCACCTCTTCTGCCACAGAGGCTTGTAGATATGGTCCACAGACTGCAGACATTTTGGCTTCAAAAAAACAAACAGCGCCTAAGTTTCTTTTTTCATGTTAAGAGGAACTTTAAATAAATAAATCTATGTAATTAGTAAAATATATTTATTAAACTACTTGCAAGTAGAGTAAGGTGGTGTTCTGATGTGAAGATGTTACATCTGTCACAAGTAGTAACATTATGGAAAAACAAATAAAAGTCGGACTAGATTTACCTAAACAACTGATACCATATAAATATTATAATTCACAAATTTAAACTCTTTCTAATGTAGTCTCAAATTATATATAAAGTAAAGTGTAAATTTGGTCCATATGGTATGAGCCGGCATAAAGATGAAAAACCGGTCCATTTTATTAAATCGTTATATTATATTCATAAAATTGCAATCACGGAAATGCCTCAAGCTCAAAGTCAAAACCAACAAAAAATAATTTAACCAATTGGTACCCAGGCCTCCTACACTACACCACCACAACCTTTCCTTTATTCTAACAACTTTTATAAAATTACACAGCCAGTCCCTGAGGCGCACCACCCACAGCCGCCTTAGGCTTAGCCTTCTCAACCACAATCGCCTGTGTGGTCAACACCATTCCAGCAACAGAAGCCGAATTCTGAAGCGCACATCTTGTCACCTTGGCTGGATCAATAACTCCTGCCTCCACCAAATTCTCATACTTATCACTCATCGCATTATACCCCATCTCCCATTCCCCCTTCCTTCACCTTCTCAACCACCACCTCACCTTCAATTCCGGCATTCTGTGCAATCAATGATGCTGGTGCCACCAACGCCTTTTGAATAATATCAGCACCCAAACGTTCATCTGCATCATCAAGCTTTTCCTTAATGGCAGGAACTAATGTTGACAGATGAACAAATGCAGCTCCACCTCCCGGGACTATTCCTTCTTCTATCGCTGCAAATGTCGCGTTTTTTGCGTCCTCGATTCGGAGTTTTCGGTCTTCTAATTCAGTTTCGGTTGCAGCTCCGACTTTTATGACAGCGACCCCACCAGATAATTTCGCGATTCTTTCTGAAAGCTTTTCGGAATCGTAGACTGAATCTGTTTCAGATAATTCTTTCTTGATTTGAGAAATCCTTGATTGAATCTCATCTTTTGATGCAGCATCGGCTATGATTGTGGTTGAATCTTTGCTGATTGTGATCTTTCTCGCCATACCAAGTTGCTCAACTTGTGTGTTTTCAATGAGCAAACCTAAGTCAGTCGCTTGGTATTCAGCTCCTAAATATATAGCATAAAACAAAGATTAGCAAACATACGAAAACAATTGAGTTGAAGGATGTGAAAAATAATTGATTCATGTTATTATTATACCTGTCATGATGGCGATGTCTTGAAGGAGGGCTTTTCTTCTTTCACCAAAACCAGGTGCTTTAATGGCAGCGACATTAAGAATGCCTCTCAACTTGTTCACGACTAGAGTGGCTAGAGCTTCACCAGTAACATCTTCAGCGATAATTAACAAAGGAGCTCTTAATTGAGTGGTTTTCTCCAGCAATGGGATTATGTCTTTTATAGAAGATATCTTTTGGTCTGTGACTAACACTCTGGCGTTCTCGAATTCAACTATTAGTTTTTCAGAGTTTGTAACGAATTGTGGAGAGATGTATCCTCTGTCAATCTGTAAAATCATGAGAAAATGGTTAATAAAGTAGATAGAATAGAACACAGAGTTCTTGAATTGAATAATCAAATTTATTACAATACATACCTCCATTCCTTCTTCAACATCAACAGTTGTCTCAAAGGAGGAGGATGATTCGATGGACAGCACACCATCTGCTCCAACCTTGTCGATGGCATCAGCAATCATGGCACCGATGACATCATCATTTCCAGCAGAAATTGAGGCAATGGCTTTTCAGAAAAGAGTAGAAAAAGTCCCATCAGCTGAGAAAGAAACATTTGAGTTATAGCAACAAAAGAGAATCTTAACTACCTTTGATGTCATCACGACCTTTAACAGGTCTGGCTCTCTTTTCCAGCTCCTCGACCAGACCAGCTACAGTTTTGTCGATTCCTTTCTTTACTGAAACCGGATTAGCACCAGATGTTACACTCAAGAGGCCGAGTTTGATGATTTCACGTGCAAGAACTGATGCGGTTGTAGTACCATCACCAGCTGAGTCATTGGTTTTGCTTGCAACCTATTAACGTTCAAGTCAACAAATGATTACAAAACAGAGAATCAACAATATTCGACTAGTAGTTTCAAATTGAATAAGCCGCAAGTAGTAGTATGTATAATCTTTAGGCTCAAACCTCTCTGATAAGAGCAGCGCCAGCGTTTTCCATGGCATCAGGTAGCTCAATAGCTCTGGCAATTGTAACGCCATCATTAACCACCTTTGGGGCGCCGTATTCGTCCAGGACAACATTCCGTCCTATATGGAATAACATTGAGAGTTTCAGTTGCAGAAAGACTTGTTATCAGAATCACAAGTTGTTTATTAGTTTAAGCAAATTCATGATCCATACAAGCCACTAATCCAAAATTAAGGAGCCTTTAAACCCTTAAGCAACGATTAAGACAATAATGATTAGTCATAAATGATACCTCTAGGGCCAAGAGTAAGACCAACAGCATCGGCAAGTTTATCAATACCGGCCTGCATAGCCGACCTAGAACTCTGATCAAAGGCAATGTCTTTAGCCGCAGCGCGAACCGCGAACCGGCGATGCGATTGTGTCGTCGTCTGAGCAGTCCGCAATTGACTAACACCCCCATTACCATTTCTCAATCCCCCCTGAGAGCAGAATCCGATATAAACAACGCGCATAAAGAACAAACAATTGGATTTAACTCGAAATTATAAAGGAACTTACCTGTTTCGGGGAGCAGATGATAGAAGCTGTGGAAATTGCATTAGCAGACGCCATGGGAGATGCTTCGAGTTGTTGAGTTGTGGATAAAAGTTAGGTGTTAAAATGGTGTTTCAGCGAAGAGTGAGGGTTGTCGCTAGGGTTTTAAAATGGAGTGAGAAGGCGGTTCCAGAACATTCGATGATCCCCAGAAGTGTGTAGACTGAAATAACATATTGGCATTGGCCAATAGATACAATGAAATTTGCACTTTACTCCCAATAGTCTCCTTTTATTACAAGTTGTCCACTAACATTTTATAAACTTCTCTCTTCTTTATTGGGAAAAATTTTGGTATTAGAGACTGAATTTTTACATTTTTCATTTAAATTAACTACATAACCAACTATCTTTTGTTATTAAAATGTGACAAACCAAATAAATTAAGGGGTCGTTTGATAGTTGCTGATTGAGTTAATGCTGACTGAGTTGGTACCGACTGAGTTAGAATTTCTGGCTGAGTCCACATCTGACTGAAACCATATTGTTTTATTATATCTCTGACTGACTGTGGTGAATTGTAAAAAATGACCATATTACCCTTATGTTGCATTTTGTATATATTAATATCAAAACTAGACAATTCTTTTTTAATTTTCTCGATTATTTTTGTAATTGTCAAATTTAAATTTTGTATCATATGCATTAATTTAAATTACGTAATTATAAGAAAATGTTTTCAAAATTTTTGCAATAATCACAAACAATGTAATATATCACTTCATTAGAATTCTACTATTTTGACCTGATCATAAAATATGACCCAATAAACACACAAGTTATATATATAAAAAAAAAAAATAACAAACATGAACACTCTATAATACTTGTAACTTATAAGGCACCTAATTATGCAAATTCCTAGCACCATCACAAATGATGAGCAATCAGGTGGTGATTAGCGTACCCACTACATTGCCACCACCACTCCTTGTAAGCTAGGCTTTGGCTCCTTAATTATACATCCTGCAATGTGATCCTCATGCATGCATTTTCCGTTGTGGTTTCCTTAAAATACATACAACTTTCTGCTTGTTCAAGTGAGCCAAAATTCTGCCCCAGTTGCAGAAGCTAATAATAATATAAACCAGAATTTGACAGTAAGCTTTCATTAGAACTTGAACAATTTTATTCAAACATTTCAACAAACATCTAACGCGCATGTTAAAGAATCATGTTTTGATAGTCAAATTGATTCACAGCTCCATTGTTAATAGATTTAGTTTTCACCTAGAAAACAGATCAACAATTGATAATAGACCAACAATGAAGAACCGTAAGGTCCCAATTTAACAATCGATATTATCAACTACCCTCACAATCAACTAAAACATCAAGAAGATCTTACCTTAACAGTTACCAATTCAACGATCGGAACGAATATAAAATTGATCTGGAACATCGAATTGGAAGCAACTGGAACAAATTAGTGAATCACTTTCTTCTCCATTACTGTCGAGGCGATGTTTAGGGCAAAATCGGAATAATCGACTTCTACAAAACTGAATATTACCGGAATAGGCTCGATTTCAAAATCGATATTATGGCTCGCTTTCAAAATCGATTAAAGAGGACGAGGACCATTGGTGGTGGGATTGAAGAAGAAGGAGAAGAAAGAAGTTACGTTGAGGGGAAAGAAGAAGGAGAAGGGCAAATACGTGAAATTGGTACAAATGACCGAGTCCGGTGGTTTTTTTTTTAGGACCGAATCAGAGGATTTTGACCGAATCAGAAGTGCAAAGAAGCATAATCAAACAAGCTGTTCCAGTTGATCCGGACCGAGTCCAGAAAAACGACTGATTGGACCCAGACAGACAAGCATCAAACACCCCCTAACTACATAACCAACTATCTTTCGTTATTAAAATGTGACAAACCAAAGGGCTTCTAGCCCAGCGGTATCCGGTGTTGCCCTTTCTCTTTGAGGTTGAGGCTTCAAGTCCTGTCGTGGACATAGGTGGATTTAAGGAGTAGTTTAGAAGTAGGTTAGATTTGTCGTTTCAAAAAAAATTTAAAATGTGACAAAGTATAAATATGTTAAACTTACTATCGATATGTATAAAAGTTATTGTTTACATAAACAATTTCATATAACTTATGTTTTATTAACATTTTTAACTATTAGTTATTTCTCAAATAATATAAAATTGTTTTCTTTTTGTATTTTCAAATTATTTATTATTTTCTACAACTTAATACAATTTTTTTATGTAACTTTTGTTGATATATATATATATATATATATATATATATATATATATATATATATATATATATATATATATACGAGTTCGTTAACAGTAAATTTTGTACATTTACATTTTCAGCTGTCGCATTCTATAGGTTCTTTTTGCCCTGATGATGGTGGGCCTCTGAGGTTTTTGCAGTTATATATGGTTGACACGCAGCATGAGTTGTCTAATAGGTTGGCAGCTTTCAAGGACCCTACGAAACAACCTCTGGATCCAAGAATGGTTGAGGTGTTGATGACTATACTTACACTACATAACGAATATGTACATACCTTTAAAATAGCCAAACAAATTGTTGAAGAAAGAAATTTAGATGAATATGTGGTTTGACTTTTCAATGATGTTCTGGATAGACGTTATGCTCCTCCCGCACCTGGTACTTTGGGATGCATTGTTTTTGGTGACAACTATGCCAGTAGTAGATACGATATACTTATACATTCAAAGGGTGGTCAGGCACAACGGGTTAGTAAACTCCATCCAAATTACATGCAACTGCAATACCCACTGCTTTTCCCATATGGTGAGGACGGGTGATCACCACAGCTGAAACTTTTTAATGAATCGGGTTCGAAAGCTAAAAACTTAACGGTTAACATGTATTATAGTTATCAGATGCACGCACGTTGTAATATACACTCTCTTTATATATAATTCATGTAGATTATTTCAGCAGTTTTTAGTTGATGCTTATACATGTATCAAACAATATCGTCTTGAATTCTATCAAAATAATCAGGAACATCTTAGATCTGACTTCATCAGTGGGATCTATGATGCACTTTGCAATGGAGATACTGAAAGTCGTTCTGTTGGTAGACGTGTGCTTTTGCCCCTGTCTTTTGTCGGTGGCCCCCGATACATGTACAGTCACTATCAAGATGCTCTTTCCATTTGTAGAGAACATAGGAACCCACAATATTTTATCACCTTTACATGCAATGTGAAGTGGCCAGAAATTAGACGATACATGTTGGTCCATAATCAAAACGATGTACATAGTAGGGCCGATATCATTTCACGTGTTTTCCACATGAAAGTAAAGGCGTTTATAACATTTCTGAAAGAAGACAGAACATTTGGACTTGTGGTAGCACGTAAGTCGTATATATTCGTTCTTGGTTATATATATATATATATATATATATATATATATATATATATATATATATATATATATTCGTATATATTTGTAGTTTTCTCTATTTCATTTTTACATTAGTTCACAATAATTCCAATCAATTTATTTTTTGTAGACATGTACACAATTGAATTCCATAAGCGGGGCTTACCTCACTGTTATATGTTGTTGTGGGTCGTTGCATCACATAAAATACAGGACCCTTCTGACATTGATGTGTTTATTACTGCTGAACTGCCAGATCCGTTGTGACATCTCCATTTTCATGGCCAGAAAAGACCGATTTGTTTATGCTTATTTAAAAATCATAGTATCCTTTTTGAAAAGTAATATTGCGGAATTTGTTCCCAGAAAACATGATAATGGTAGTATCAAAGCATTTTCGAAGAAATGTATTTTATTTATATTAAAACATTAGGATATCATCATCAATACAGAAACATAAGCATAACAAAATATTACAAGCCTTACAATAATTAAACTAATAACCTAATACTCCTTGAATCTCTCAGCAGAATGTATCTTTCATATAGCCACCTGTGATCCAATAAACAGTGGGTCAGGTTGGGAAACCTGGTGAGTATAGGGTTTTCAATCCCACAATGTGATAATAATGTATATCTCAAACCTACAAATCCAACTATTATCATTAACACAGATATATTATATCTCTAAAACAGTTTATCCCATCCCGTCGATTCCCACGTATAGATCCTATACAACGATCTTACAAGATCTAACCTAAATGATCAATATGAACAACAAACTGACGATGCTGCTTCGGAAATTCCCTGGCAGCAAACGAGGATCAATAAATACATCAAATGAGGGGAATGGAATAAGTTTTACCATGAACCTCCGTTCGTAAAAACAACAAGACAATTAAGTCAGGGGTGGTTATCTAGATAACTGTGCCTAGCAGTGGTCTGACACCGTGAAGTATTTTACCCCCAGACTCACCCTATCCGGCAATACAGCATCAGACATACATGGTAGTGATTTATTATTGGCACACTCTATTAGGCATTCTACGAAGTTCCCTCAATTACTTCGTGAAAGGAAACGCTAACACACAAAGTTCATCAAAATAAAAAGCATGGGGAAATACGAATAAAGTACTCTCGTACGATCCCGTACCCTGATACACAATAGTGTCAAAAAAAGGACTTTGTACATGATAGTACTTCAGCCACATTATAGTACCCTGGTATGAGTAGGACTCATACCCCAGAACATAATAATACTCCGGCACAAGCAACACCTAAGACACAGAGCTTTGAAAAAGACTTGGTACATAGAAAGTACTTTTGTACGTAGGACATACTCCATCGATCATCAATCTCCTCGAACAGAGTTTCTACTCTCTATTCCGATCACACACGTACCCTTAATAAGATACTACCCAATATCCAAACTTAATTGAACTAAGCATCTCTTTTAAGTTTTATGTCATCACTAAACAAGCCTACGATTCTTATAATCAACTTTCAATACTAACTCTGTTTCGGCAACACTATCCTATTTTAGTGTAATATTTTATACAAAGTATTAAGTATTAACATACATTTATCTTCTCATTTATAATACTTTTATTATTATTATTATCATGTAAATACATCTCAACACATATAGTATGACATCCCCATTTTCACGGCCAGAAAAAACCGATTTTGTTTATGCTTTATAAAAATCATAGTACCTCTTTTAATAAAAAATGTTGCGGAATTTGTTCCCAGAAAAACATGATAAATACGTTATCAAAGC